TTATTATTTCCATTTGTCAGATGGAAAAATTACAGTTCAGTAAAGAAGTGGCCAGGCACAGTGGCTCACACCTGTAATCCCAGCATTTTGGGAGGCCGAGGCAGGCAGATCACCTGAGGTTGGGAGTTCAAGACCAGCCTGACCAACGCGGTGAAACCTCGTCTCTACTAAAAATAACAAAATTAGTTGGGCTTGGTGGCACATGCCTGTAATTCCAGCTACTCAGGAAGCTGAGGAAGGAGAATTACTTGAACCCAGGAGGCAGAGGTTGCGGTGAGCCAGACTGTGCCATTGCACTCCAGCCCGGGCAAGGAGAGTGAAACTCCATCTCAAAAAAAGAAAATAAAGTGAACAGCCAGTGTCACAGAGCATGGATTTAAATTCAGAACTATATACTCAGTCTAGACTTTACACACTAAACAAAAGCTCAAAAGCAAGAAGTAAATAATTTATAATTATATATATATATGTATGTGTGTACATATATATATATATGGCTGGTTGCAGTGACTCATACCTGTAATCCAAGCACCTTGGGAGGCTGAGGCTGAGGTGGAAGGATTGCTAGAGGCCGGGAGTTGGAGATGGAGTTGGGAAGAAAATAGCCAGTTGTGGCGGTGTGTTCCTATAGTGCCAGCTACTCCAGAGGCTTAGGTGGGCAGGATGAGCTGTGATCACACCACTGCAGTCCAGTCTGAGCCACAGAGTGAGACCCCATCTCAAAAATAATTTAAATAAATAAACAGAGGTACAGGTGGAAAGGTGGAGGGGAGTATGAGGTGAATTTAGGCAGGAAGCACAGCCAGACCCAAAGGTACCATGTGTGCTGATTCATTGAAGCTCAGAGCTGTGAGTGCCGTGGAAAGACCTTACCTGGGGATTGATGTGATCCCACTGACCTTCTAACACAGGATGACCTTGGAGGGTGGAACCATGTGGGTGGAGGTGCAGATGTCTCCATGTGCATAATGGAGTCCTCTACTGAGGGAGGAACAGGTGAGAGAAATGTGAAGGAATCAATAGGACTTGTGCCTCCCTACATGTGTGGAGTGAGGTGGTTTTGTGCGTGGGTCTGAAGCTTCATTTAAGGCCCAGTAGCCTAGTGGGAGCTGACATGACAGGCCCCGATATGACCGCCCATGGAGCACGCACAGTGATGAGAGTGCAGGGCAGGGCTGCTTCCAGAGGAGCACCACGGGCTTGCAGGCTTCTACAACCCTGAGCTTTCCAAGGGTCTACGAGATCAGAAGCCCGAGGAGAAACCTATAGCTTGTTAGAAAGAAACCAAAATAACAACAAAAGGAAAACATAACAATCCTGCAAAATAGTTATATTTCGAAAGCAAAATTAGAAAATCATATTCATCCTTTTATTTCTACATTGAAAATGTTTCATGAGATGTGGATGCATTTTAATGTATTATACATCTGATGTGACATAGGCAAGGCTCCTCCAAAGACATTGCTCCTAAAGTCTATAAAAGAAGGTAGGGTGTGAGAAGCTGTCTTCTTTACTGAGACCCACACTTCGCATTCCACGGTCCCCAGGACTCTCCTTTTTTTCAGGGGTATCTCCCATCTCTGGCATTTCCTCCATCCTGTCAGGCCCCTCACCCTTGCAGAGGGCATTCATGTGATGTTACATGTAGTGTTTGTGGGTTTATAGCACTTTGAAGTGCAGTTCCCACAAGATCTGGTCTTGATGAACCTCATCTGGGGTGGCCTTCTGCAGTTCCCTTGAGACCTCATCCTGATGAACTTCATCTGGCATCACCTTCTCCCTCAGGTGTCTCACTGTGGCCTCCATGCTGCCTGGTCTGGTCAGGCAGTTCCCACACGATCTGGTTGTAATGAACCTCATCTGGGGTCACCTCCTCTCTCGGGTGTCCCACCGTGGTCTCCATGCTGCTTGGTCTTGTCAGGAGCATTCTGGGTACCCTCTCTCCTGCTGCCTGCCTGCTCCTGTGTCTTCTGCCAACTCTAGGCAATGGCATTCTACGCTGTCTTCTGGTAAGGGTCCCCATGATGCCACCCTGCTGGAGTAGAGCTCACTGTTGTCACCCATTCCCCTGCCTCCACCCACCCTGCCCACTCCCCTCACACCTCTCGGGTACTAATTGCCCACCCGAACCCTTCCAGTGCTCAACTCACCTGTCTGTGCTTCTCAGCACCTGCCTGGTCACTGGAACTGCCCCTGGACACCGCCCGGAAAGGACTCACTGCCAAGTGGCAGAAAGGAGGTAATGGACATACATTTGGATATCATTTTGGCCAATCATTTCCTAAAAGCGATTTTATAAGGAGTCAGAAGCCTCTCCCGACTTGAGAGCAGATGTCCAGAATCCAAACTCGATGTGTATCCAGAAAACTGAAGGTTTGCTGTATCAGAGGACATTCTGGCCAGTGTGGCAGATATCACCAATATGATAATATAGACAGAATATCTCCCTCCCATTCTAAGTAACATGGCGACTTTAGAGTCTTTTAAGCGTTTGTTGTAAACTACACGTAAAACCTACCATCTTGGGCATTTTTAAGTACACAGTACAGTAGTGTTAAGTACATTCACATTGCATGAAATCAGTCTCCAGGACGTTTCTTTTTTCACCCATTAAGCAACTCTCCATTTCCCTGTCCCTCCAGCCCATGGCAGCCACCATTTTATCTTTTGTTTCTATGAATGACTCTCTAGATACTTCATGTAATACAGTTTATTTTAAAAGAACCAAAAATATGCCTAGCATTGAGAAATTAGCCACCCCCTGGATTTTGTGAGTGCCTAAACACTGACTTTAAAGCCTATGCTATTTCTCGTCATGCGTTCGTTCATTCATTCGGGACACCGTGTGCTTCAGGATGCGTTTGGGTGTCCGGGAGCAGTGTTGAATGTGTTTTACTATTGGATTGATTGTCTATTCTTCCTTTTTTTTTTTTTTTTTTTTTTTTTTTGGAGATAGAGTCTCACTCTGTCGCCCAGGCTGGGGTGCAGTGGCACAACACAATCTCGGTTCACTGCAACCTCCACATCCTGGTTTAAAGCAATTCTCTGCCACAGCCTCCCAAGTAGCTGGAATTACAAGTGCCCACCACCACACCCAGCTAATTTTTGTATTTTTAGTAGAGACGGGGTTTCACCATCTTGGCCAGGCTGCTCTTGAACTCCTGACTTCATGATCCACCCGCCCCAGCCTCCCAAAGTGCTGGGATTACAGGCATGAGTCGCTGCACCTGGCCGGTTGTCTATTCTTTATTAGTTTGTTGGAGTTCATTATTTTGAGAATTGTGTGTGCTACAAATATATTTTCTGTCTTTGTGGCTTGCCTTTTTAGTGTCTTTATCCTGTCTTTTTGAGACCAGAAACTTAAATATGGTCCAATATATTGGTCATTCCCTTTATGGTTATTGTTTCGTAATGCTATTCACGACATCTTTTCCTAATTCGATGTCCTGAAGATATATTTCTGTGTTACCTTCTGGATCCCTGCCATCCAGTAAAAATAATGAACTGAGATACATATTATCTACCTAGACTAAATATTATCTGTTACCCACATTGAGAGAGAAAAGGGAATCCAAAAAAGCTGTTTAATAATGCTTTATTTAACTTAGTATATCCAAATCATTATAATTTCAAACTTTCAAGATAAAAATTATTGAGACATTTAATGTTGATTTTTCCTACTGTTTAACATTTCAATGCAAGTTTTATGCTTATTAACACATCTCAAGGGTTCCATAGCCATGCATGGGCAGAGCAATCAGAGAATATTTATTTATTTTTACCATTTCTCATTAGACCTGTGTTCTACCTGACTGATTTTTTAGCATAGCATGAGATGGGAATCTAGTGTGATTTTTCTTCTAAATGAGTATCCAATTGACCCAGCACCAATTTATCGAAAAGACGATTCTGTCCCTGCTGTTCCGTCTGCTGTCATAGTCTCAAAGAAAGTGTCCACATGTGTGTGTCCCTTTCTGTTCTCCATTCTGTTTCATTTGTCTACTTGTCTATACTTTCACCACTCCTATGCTATCTTAATTACTATAATTTTCATGATAAGTTCTGATATGTGGTAAGGAAAAATGTCTTTTCAGGAGAGTGTTGGCTAACCTTGGCCTTTTGCTTTCTATATATATTTTAATTGTCAAGTTCTCAAAAATACAGTGGGATTTTGATTGACACTTTAGATGATGTCTGATGGAGAGTCTAGATATCCATTGGCTAGACATCCGTTGGAGGAGAGGCCTTTTTTAAGCATCATCAGTTCCTGTGGTACAGGCATCTGAGTGGGATCTGGACATGCTCTTGCCTTCCAGACTCTGCTCCCTTTCCCATTGTGAGGTAGAAGCGGGTGATGAGAGAGGCTTAGCCCTCGGCGCTGTGATAAGAGCACAGTGGAGGTGTCCATCCCATTCTGCAGGAGACATTTCTCAAGGACAGAAGCTCCCTGCCATGGTTCTAGAATCCTAGGGCGAATACAAATAAATTTGGGGATAAACCAGACAACAAACACATAAAACCAAAACTGAGTTTCGCTTGCTAGCGGGGGCCTTGTGTCCTGTGAGCTCTCAGGGGTCATGGTTCTTGCACCCACTTTAACCCAGGGCAGGACTTACCCTCCTTGAGAACAGGTTAGGTGTTCCCACTCCTCCTCCTTCTCTGTCACTGGCCCTGTGGTTTGCTTTGTGGCTACAGACCGAGTTCCATGGAGAAGCTAGGAACAAACGTAGAGGCTCATGCAGGCAGTCTGACCAGGCAGGGGAGGAAAGGAGCCGACTATTTGGAGACAGAAAATTATCTCTGGTCTCTGAAGAGGATTAACAGGATGGGAATGAAGGCAAAATACAGATGACAGTAGGGAGACCAGGACCTGGCCACAGAAAAGGGCTCCTGTGACTTACTGAGGCTGAATGTTGGCTTGCCATCGTCTTGCATTTCCTTGTACACCAGGTCAGGCTGCTGGAATTCCACAGTCCTGGCTGTCCTGAACTGCACCAGAATGGCTCCAGGAGCAGGGAAAGCATCTCCAAGATGAGACGTGTGAGCCATGGGGCCAAGTTGGGGGTGGTGGGGCTGGGGGCTGGGGACTAGAGGACAGGGGACTAGAAAGAAGTAGGGCTAAGGAGGAGGGGTGGGGGAATAGGTAGAGAAGTCCCAGGAAACAGCTCTGGGACGACATCTGCAAGCAGGACTAGGAGGAGGAGTAGAGGGACAGGTAGGGGAGTCATGGGGAAGAGTTCTGGGACCAGAGCCTTGGCGAGGAGGACTACGATGAGGGCCAGGGTGATCGATAGGGGAGTTACCAGCAAGAGTTCTGGGACCACGGCATTGACAAATGAATGATTTGTGGCGAATGGCAGAAGAGCAGGGCAGGTAGAGTATTATGGTAGGGTAGTGGGGAGGGCAGGTATATGCCACAGTGGGATAACAGATGGGGCAGAAAACTGAAAAATCTACATACTTCTGGAGAGGAGGAAGAGGCCTGGCATGTGGAGGAAGAGGGAGTTGAGGAAGAGGTAAGTGACTTGGAGAAGGAGACGGGGACTGAGAAAAAAAGCTGCTGGAGAGCTTACGAGAGTGGGTTGACTCATGAGAGCGGGATTGATTAGGAGGGTGTGGAATCATCAGACCAGGTGCTGGGTGGGCTTGAAATTGAGAAATTGGAGGGAGCTTTCCTGTCATTTCTTCCAATGACAATTCTAGTTAGCTGCTTTTCCCAGTGAGTTCAAATGAGTAACTGGGGTGTGCCCAGACCTACCCCAGCATTTATCACTTGCCTACCGCTTGCATCATACCATGTGTGAATGCCCATTATGACGCCTATGTGCCCATCTCTTTTGGTCTAGAGGGAAGGCCCCACCAACCGGAGAAAGGATTCCAGTTTCTAGATGTAAGAGTGATCATGGGAAATAGCAAAGAGAAGAAATGGGGGCTGTGATATTTGTCCCTTTTCTGGGGATATCATGTAGTTATGCCCCTCAGTAGGCAAAGTCTGATGAAAGGGTCTAGATGGATGGGGCCTAGGAGAGTGGTTCTGAAGCAGGACCTGGGAAAATGGGAAGAAGTCAGTGCCCCAGTTTTACTACAGTTTTCAAAGCACTTTCACATCATTTATATTGCTCCATGAATACATGTGATTAGAGGAGAGATACTGTATTCATTGGATCAACGAGGACCCTGAAGACCAGAGAGGAAGCTGCCATAGACAGGCAGTGGCGACAAAGCACGTGGGACTAGAACTTGGGCCAAAAGGAGGGGCAGGTGGGAGGGAGCACAAAACAGCCCAGAGTGCTGACCAGTGGCCTCCCCGCTCCTGGTTCTCTGGACAGGATCCTGCAGGGGGCGCTTCAGAGCACAACTTGACTTTCTGTAGTCAGCTCTTGATCCCTGTGCCCCAGTGGTTTTTTGCCTTACTGTTAATGGGAACCATAAACATAGCGCCAGAGCTGGCAGGAGGACTGTTCACTCCTGGACACCCAATGACTAGATTTGGACTTTCTGGCCCACCACCTGAGATGCCTAGCTTCATGTCAGATGACTAAGGAGTCATCTGCACCCTCCACCCTTCTATCGTCTGACGGAGCAAACCTCTCTGCTGAACATTCCCGGTTTCTGTGATCACCATCCATTCAAACTCAAGCCGCTGTGTTCTTTCATTTTCTCTTGCACTCTTATCACATATTCTGAGTTTTCTCCCTTGGTCCAACGTCCCTTCTCTCCCACACTGCACACAATGCTCAGTTGTCATCTCTGGAAGTCCCGCTGCATGATAAACAAAGGTCCTGATTTTCTGTGGTTGCTCCGTTATTGACAGTTTCTTGCATGTCCTGGCTTTAACTATAACCTGGATTTCCCATTGCTTCTCTCGTATCTCAAGTAGAGAATATACATTGTCTCAAACACCAGAGTACATCAGAGTGGGAATGTGGTTTATAGATTCTCTTTGCTCCTTCCAATTCCTTGGAAATGATTGATTTTTGTTTTTCTATCAGAAGATCTCTTGCTCCTTAGAAGCAAGTGCTGCTCACCCCCACTGCCAGGTCCCTGGCACTGCCACCTTCAGATCTCTTTGTGGGGATTTTCTTTTTCAGTGTAAACTTTCGTACTTCTCCTAAAGCCTTACATTTGACTTTATTGTCCTGACTGACTTCAATGTCCATTTCAGTGACCTGATTTAATTCTATGGCCTCTGCTTTTCCTGATACTTTCATTTACTTTTAGGAAATTTTCTGGAGGGGCCAAGATGGCCAAATAGGAACAGCTCATGTCTGAATTTCCCAGTGAGATCAACGCAAAAGGCAGGTCATTTCTGCATTTCCAACTAAGGTGACCTGTTCATCTCATTTGAACTGGTTAGGCAGTGGGTGCAATCCATGGAGAACGAGCAGAAGCAGGATGGGGTATCACTTCACTTGGGAAGGGCAAGGAGCTAGGGGACCTCCCTCCCACAGCCAAGGGAAGCCGTGACGGACTGCGCTTCCCAGCCTGGATACTAGGCTTTTCCCATGGCTTTTGCAACCTGCAGATCAGGAGATTCCGTCGTGTGCCTACACCACCAGGGCCCTGGGTTTCAAGCACAAAACTGGGCAGCTGTTTGGACAGAGAGTGAGCTAGCTGCAGGAGTTTTTTTCATACTCCGGTGGTGCCTAGAAACCCAGTGAGACAACCGTTCACTCCCCTGAAAAGGGGGCTGAATCCAGGGACCCAAGTGGTCTCGCTCAGTCTATCCCACTCCCAGGGAGCCCGGCAAGCTAAGAACCACAGCCTTAAAATTCCCACTGCCAGCACAGCAGTCTGAAGTTGACCTGGGATGATCCGGCTTGGTTGGGGGAGAGGCATCTGCCATTACTGAGGTTTTAGTAGGTCGTTTTCCCCTGACAGTGGTAAGGAGGCTAGAAGTCTGGACTGGGCAGAATTCACTACAGCATGGCAAAGCAGCTGTAGCCAGGCGGCCTCTCTAGAGTCCTCCTCACTGGGAAGGGCGTCTCTGAAGGAAAGGCAGTAGACCCAGTCAGAGGCTTACAGATAAAACTCTCATATCCCTGGGACAGAGCACCTGGGGGAAGGGGCAGCTTCAGTAAATTTCATCTTTCCTGCCTGCCGGCTCTAAAGAGAGCAGCTGATCCTGACAAATGGGCTTCTCCCAGCACAGCACACCAGCTCTGTTAAAGGACAGATTGCCTCCTCAAGTGGGCCCTGACCCCCGTGTGTCCTGACTGGGAGAGACCTCCCAAGAGGGGTCGACAAACACCTCATATGGGAAAGCTCCAGCTGGCATCAGGCTAATGCCCCTCTTAGATCAAGCTTCCAGAGGAAGGGGCTGGCAGCAATCTTTGGTGTTCTGCCGACTCCACTGTGGATACCCAGGCGGACAGTGTCTGGAGTGGACCTCCAGTAAACTGCAGCAGACCTGTAGAAGACGGGCCTGACTGTTAGAAACAAAACTAACAAACAGAAAGCAACAAATCAACATCAACAAAGAAGACCCTATACAGAAACCACACGCAAAGGCCATCCGCATCAAAGATGAAACGTAGATAAATCCACAAAGATGAGGAAAACCAGTGCAAAAGCCTTGAAAATTCCCAAAACCAGAATGCCTCTTCTCCTCAAATGATCACAGTTCCTCTCCAGCAAGGGCACAAAACTGGACGAAGAATGAGACTGACAAATTGGCAGAAGGAGGCTTCAGAAGGTGGGTAATAACAAACTCCTCCAAGCTAAAGGAGCATGTTCTAACACAATGCAAGGAAGCTAAGGACCTTGATAGAAGGTTAACAGGAACGGCTGTCTAGAATAACCAGTTTAGAGAGGAACATAAATGATCTGATGGAGCTGAAAAACATAGTACAAGAACTTTGTGAAGCATATTCAAGTACAAATAGCTGAATCTACCAAATGGAAGAAAGGATATCAGCGACTAAAGATCACCTTACTGAAATAAGGTGTGAAGACAAGATTAGAGAAAAAAAAAGAATGAAAAGCAATGAACAAGCCTCCAAGAGATATGGGACTATGTGAAAAGACCAAACCTACAACAGACTAATGTACCTGAAAGTGATGGGGAGCGTGGAACCAAGTTGGAAGACACACCTCAGGATAGTATCCTGCAGAACTCTCCGAGCCTAGCAAGACAGGCCAACATTTAAATTCAGGAAATACAGAGAACACCACTAATATACTCCTTGAGAAGAGCAACCCCAAAGCACATAATCACCAGATTCCTCAAAGTCGAAACAAAGGAAAAAATGTCAAGGGCAGCCAGAGAGAAAGGTCAGGTTATGTACAAAGACAAGCCCATCAGACTAACAGCAGATCTCTCTGCAGAAACCCTACAAGCCAGAAGAGAGTGGGGACCAATATTCAATATTCTTAAAGAAAAGAATTTTCAACCCAGAATTTCATATCCAGCCGACTACACTTCATAAATAAAGGAGAAATAAAATTCTTTCCAGGTGAGCAAATGCTGAGGAATTTTGTCACCACCAGGCCTGCCGTACAAGAACTCCTGAAGGAAGGACTAAATATAGAAAGGAAAATCTGGTACCAGCCACTGCAAAAACACACCAAAATATAAAGCCCAAGGACACCATGAAGAAACTGCATCAACTAATGTGCAAAATAACCAGTTAGCATCATGATGACAAGATCAAATTCACACATAACAATATTAACCTTAAATGTAAGTGTGCGAAATGCCCCCGTTGAAAGATATAGACTGGCAAATTGGGTAGAGTCAAGACTCATCAGTGTGCTGAATTCATTCAGGAGACCATCTCATGTACAAAGACACACGTTGGCTAAAAATAAAGGGATGGGAGAATATTTACCAAGCAAATTGAAAGCAAAAAAAAAAAAAAAAAAAAAAAACAGGAGTTGAAACCCTAATCTCTGAAAAAAAAGACTTTAAACAAAAAAAGATCAAAAAAGACAAAGACGGCCATTACATAATGGTAAAGAGGTCAATGCAACAAGAAGAGATACTATCCTAAATACATATGCACCCAATATAGAAGCACCCAGCTTCATAAAGTTCTTAGAGAAGGCAGTGTGGCAATTCCTCAAGGATCTAGAAATAGAAATTCCATTTGACCCAGCAATCCCATTACTGGGTATATACCCAAAGGATTATAAATCGTTCTATTATGAAGACACGTGCACATGTATGTTCATCGCAGCACTGTTTACAATAGCAAAGACCTGGAACCAATCCAATGATAGACTGAACAAAGAAAATGTGGCACATATACACCATGGAATACTACGCAGCCATAAAAAACGATGAGTTTGTGCCCTTTGTAGGGACATGGATGAACCTGGAAACCATCATTCTCAGCAAAATGACACAAGAGCAGAAAATCAAACACCGCATGTTCTCACTCATAGGCAAGTGTTGAAGAGTGAGAACACATGGACACAGGGAAGCGAGCATCACACAAGGGTCAGTTGAGGATAGCTAGGGGAGGGACAGCAGGGTGGTAGTGATGGTGGGGAGGGATAATGTGGGGGGAAATGCCAGATATAGCTGATTGGGGGATGGAGGCAGCAAACCACCTTGCCATGAGTATACCTATGCAACAATCCTTCATTATCTGCACATGTACCCCAGAACCTAAAGTATAATCAAAAAAAAAAAAAAAAAAAAAAAGAAATAAACATACACTGCTGTGTTAGGAAATTCT